ACACCCACGCAGAGCATGGTCGAAGTGCGCATATTTTACGTACTTAATCATGGGCAGTAACTACAGACCCATAGCATTAACATCACACTTGTGTAAATGGATGGAGAAGATGATAGTGTATAGACTATCACATGTCTTAGAACAAAGAGGGTTACTGAGTGGAACGAGTGGTGTCATAAATGTTGTATTTAATATGTTAATATATTGTTTAATGTTACACTTCACACAAGTCACGACTGTTTGCAGTTAATGTCGTTGCCTTGTGTAACGTTAGTTTATATAATGTGCAGCGCTTCAAACAGTGTGCTGCCTTAAAGGCATTTTATAATATTATAATTTGTTTGCGGTTCAAAAAGTCACTACTAGGAGTGCTAATGGTATTGTTATCTTTAAGTTTGCCGTTCTTAGCCTCACTTCCGGTTTAGCGTTAGAGAAACGGCATGACAGACAGAAGACAAGAGAGGCTTCTCAATACTCAAATTTCCCCTCCTCGACTCCCCTCCTCGGTTCCCCTCCTCGAGACTTAGACCCGCCCACAGGAGATGCGAGTGGAGGACCGAGGAGGGGAACCGAGGAGAGAGGAGGGGAAGCAGCAGACATTTAAAGAAATGAGAACTCCTCTCCTCTGAGCGGTCATTTTAAAGAGACGTCCGTTCATTATTACGTGGCAACAGCTGCATCAGCTGAGTGTTTTGTCATAGCGCTGTATCTCTGTTAGATCAGCTGCACATTGGGTAACACTTTATTTTGATAGTCCATAGTTAACAATCTATAAGTCATCAGTTGACATTCAACAACACTGTTTCAACAGACAAGTAACATGCATTCAACTAACTGCCAGTAGAATATAAATTAAGCATTAGTTGATGATCAACAGATAAGCAACTTTAGAGTTTAGTTGACTATTACATTAAGCATTAGTTGATGATCAACAGATAAGCAACTTTAGAGTTTAGTTGACTATCTGTTGATCGTCAACTAATCTAGAGTTGACTATTAGTATACTTTTAGTAGGTTCTCCACTAAGCGTTTGTAGGCATGTGTTAGGACTATCCAATTAAAGTGAAAAACAGTTGAGAACAGTAGAAAGTCTATAACCTATCAACAGAACACATACATTCATCCACTAATTATATGCAACAGACATGGGGAATAAAGCGAAATGTTTTGCACAACTGATCACGAACACTGGATAACTGAAGTCAATACCAGGTTATAAAGCACAGTAGAACAAACACTATACACAGCATATCAGAGAAAGAAAGCTTTTTTATTTTAATAACATACTACAAGTAAAAACACTGAACAGTTGTGAAATGGTAAAAAAATAAAGTTTGAAACACATTATCTACCAGCTAGTAGTCAATACCAGGCAAACGGAAAAAAATCACTACACTGCAGATTTGTACAGTTTAATAACTATAAATACAATTTTATTTTGCTGTGTTCAGGACGTTTATGGGCGTCAGCAAAGAGCCTTTGGGCCCAATGTGTGGGTCTAACCCCCTGCTAATTACCAGGGTGTGCAGCTCGATCAGTTAACAACAATAATTTGCCTACAGAAAGGTCCTAAACTTATCTGTGGTTAGCATTCCTTATGTCCTTGATAAGTCTTCCAAGTACACCATGTTTATAGGTTCTTGCTAACCAGTAGGTCCACTCTATGAAGGAGAGCTGTTTTTTAAAAGTTTTCTCAGAACGATTCCCCCGCATACGCCAAACTTCCCTCTTGTATGTCTGCCATGCTCTCTCAATATTTTGTGTATGTAGTCCTGTTTGTGGATCAACATAATTCTGGCTGTGGTTGACCCTGACATGCCTGTAGCCCTCCTGGGAAAGACTGGCATATGCTCTCCACTCATCACTCACAACAAGACTTTGAGGCTTGACATGCTTCTTGATGATGGGAACAAGGGTCTCCTTGTTTCTTCTCTTTACAAGGCGAAGAATGGGACGTCTGCTTGCAGCTTTGATCTCTAGTATACCAAACACCCAAGATCTCTTTCTTCTCCAGGTGTTACCAAAGCGTCATCTTCCATACTACCAAAAAACAGTATAAAAAAGTTTTTTTTAAAACAGTGTGAACATTATTACAACATGAATTTGTGCTTTTATTTTTGTCACTATGACCACATTAGGAACCAGAAAATCTTGACTGAAAATGATTGAAAACAATTACCAAATCTTGTGACACTGCAATGCAATTCAATCAATCAATCAATGTTTATTTATATAGCCCAATATCACAAATGTTACATTTGTCTAAGTGGACTTCACAGTTTGTACAGAATATCAGTATGACAATACGACACCCTCTGTCCTTAGACCCTCACATCGTACAAGGAAACACTTCCAGAGAAAACCCACAATTTAGTCTTGACTCTGGCTTTGTGTGAATATTGAATTATTTATTCATTATGTATGTAATGTTTGAGTTAGGAACACCTGTTCCTGTTTTATTTGACTAATATATAAGATAAATACAGAAGCCTAATTCATTCACCCGAGAAAAAAAGGTTTTTCACGAGAACTTTTCCTGGAATTCTGAGATAATAATCTTGTAAATTAATAAAAACAGAAACATTTTATTTCTCACGTGTATGCATTACGCTTCCGTAAATAAACCTTCTTTAGGTTAAACAAATACAATAAAATAAACTTTCCTAAAATGAGTATTTCACATAATCACATTTTTCATCAATGTTTTTTATTAACTGATTGACAACTTTAGGGAGAGTGATATTCATTTCTGCCATTTATTTTGTATATCCCATCTATGACTCTCCCCTCCCACCCACTCTCTATATCTATCCTAATGATTCACATAATGATGTAAGCTCTTTGAGGTTATAGAAAATGTAACACATTTAGTCAAGTGTATTGCACATTTAAATTATATTACCTTGCGTTTGTGGCAGAATTTGCTCTCATCAATGTGGACAAGGACATTAACTCCACCGACTTTCTGCTTCTTTTTCTTTTGGTGCTTTCCCAGGCTTTTTACACAGATTCTTCTGAGTTTCTTTGACATCATGGAAAGTGTTGCTGAGCTCTTTGCAATGCCATCTTGAAGCATGTCAACTTGCCGTAGATGCAAACCCTGGGCAAATCTATCAAGGATTAACACAAATAATGAAATAAGGACAGTGCATTTCCAAAAGAAGAAAACATTTATTTGATCAAGCTATAAGTCACGAAGCATCATTTATACCGAGTATATTGTATTTGGGCCATTAGTTTTTTAACTAGCATCAATAACAAGCCAGCCTGTCAATCAACCATCCTGTACATGGCTGACTAAAACTGATGCTCATTGCAACACAGTGTCACATCAATCAATCAATCAATGTTTATTTATATAGCCCAATATCACAAATGTTACATTTGTCTCAGTGGACTTTACAGTTTGTACAAAATATCAGTATGACAATACGACACCCTCTGTCCTTAGACCCTCACATCGTACAAGGAAAAACTTCCGAAGAAAACCCACAGTTTAAAGGGAAAAATGGGAGAAACCTCAGGGAGAGCAACAGAGGAGGGATCCCTCTCCCAGGACGGACAGACGTGCAATAGATGCCGTGTGTAAATTGAAAAGATAATACATTTGCAACATAGGTAGTCCATCTGGTTGTATAGATAGAATCACCACCATACTCTTCTGTCAGAAGCCCAAACTTATGATTTATAAGAAATCCTAATGCTTGAAAGCAGAACAAAATAATACTTAAGAGCAGAAAAACTAAATATGGTCAACTTATAACATGATGAAATTAGCAAGAGCCAAAAGTAACGTCAGAGAGTTTTTTTGTTACTGTAACATATCTGGCCAATCAAGGCAGGTTATATGACAGGATATGCTCTTGTAATATTCTTTCAGATTGACCATAAATCCATGCCACCATACATTATGATAACAGCAATCTATCAAATACTGTAATAAGATAATACCTTTGCATTGCTTACCTATGGATGTACTTCATCCATGCGAATAAACTGCAGTGTGATTGTGAGAAAAGTGACTTTGTCCTAACACTTCTCCTCAAACGTCCACATATTTTACGTCGGCATTCCCTGTAAATTGCAGGACATCAAATTGTATGATAAACTGAACATTTTCTATGTGTGTGTTACGCACACATACACACACTAAATTGGATATATAATGTATTCAAATAACAGCAGCTGATGTAAAAACCATGATGTTTATGCAAGTAAGCCTAGTTCATGTCAGTGTCATTATCTATACTATACGCTGAAATAAATATGTTGTAACATTAGCTAGCTAGCTACTTGTCTAAATTGTATCTTGCCTCCATGGGTAGCTGAGGGAGAGAGAACAAAACTGTACATCCTAGAGGCCTCCTCACACTTGATATCTTCATTTTGTCCATACACAATCCCCACATGTTACTATTTGGTATTACAGCACTTGAAGTTAATTGACAAGGGCATTGACATTTCTGCATATTTCTTGTAGGTGTGTTACAAAATAACAAAAATGTGCCAAGAAAACAATGTACCGTCATAGACATTAATTTGTGAATTGCTTATCCGGGCCTTCTGGTTCCTTCCTATAGCAATCCATGGTTCTGTGTGAACATGCCCTCTAGTTAAGCTAACTTAATGCTTAATATTAGCAAACAATGTAGCAGAAGAATGTCCTATTCCTACCTACAGCCGATTGCATAAAAAAATATGGGGCCCTTTAGTTTGCAAGCATTTTATTCTTACCAGATGTGATGGTCCTTGGTCTGGGAGGAGACCATCTTCATTTTGTGGCAGCAGTTTTTGCATTTCAATTTGCGTTTCATCAAGCCAATTGTTTGCAACCATTTTATTAATTTTAAAGTTGATTTTTTTGTTTCTTTAACATAAACTGTTCTCATAAATGTTCTCTCCAGTGAAGCCATCGGACCGAGCTAGTCAATGTATATATTTATCTACCAGACATCCCAAAAATGCAAAACTGGCGCACTTTAATTTAATTGGCTGGAGAACTTATGGGATACGCTTGATTTATATATAAACACCTCCCGGGACCAGCGTTATATGTACAGTCTATCTATGGTGTTGGCAGAGTTGACACGTGACTAAATTATATTCACCAAGCACTTCTACCAGCGCCATACTTCTACTGCCTGATTGGTCTACTGCGCAAGTGCGCCCTTGGATTTCAGATGTTTTGGTCGTCGAGATGGTAAGTGTCAACTTCCTTAGGTAACATTGTCTTTTTTTTAGAAAGCATTCCTTATTACTTGCATGTGAACCAATATTGCTATCTCGCATTTATTTTCAGCATCGACATGGCATTTTTGCTCAGGTGCATTCAGTAACCCGCCCCTCATCTGACAACGGGAGCAGTGCCGTTGGTCCCGTGCATTGTACCCGCTCAAAGTCACGGAGAGAGATTAATGAGGCAGTAGAAGGAGGCGATACCATACAAGAAAGTGGTAAGTTGGGTTTATAAATGTGAAAGTAGTTGACGTTTGTGTGCTAACTTCACACTCTAGATATGCGAACTATACTGACAAACTACCACTAACTTTATTAGCTATGTTAAATAACCGATATGCATGTTTAAGTTAACATGCATATCGGTAAGGTTAACATTGTTAACCTTTCCTACCAGCAAAGCTAACGACGTATAGCCATAGACACGGTCTAATATAACAACTAAAGTTATCCTTACTGGAGCAGCAGGGCTAGCGGTTCATATAGAAGGTTCCTTGGTAGCTCAAACAGAATGCTAGCTAACATGCTTAGTTTGAATCTTCTCCTTAATGAGACCCGCAGGATCGCGGCTGACTTTACTGTCTTTAAGCGGCTGTACCGGGCTCGGTTTTGAAGCTGGTAATGATGATATCATATGAAAGTAGATGACCTAATGGCATACAATGGTACCAACCACGTGATGCTAGCTTGTCGGCAATGGGGCTAAAAAACATTCTACATTTTGGAGGGAAAAACTGACATGGCAATTTCCACAGGGGTTTCCTTGACATCTAACTTCAAGATACCTGTATGAAAATGGGTTCTATGAGTACCCACGAGTCTCCCCTTTACAGACATAGGCCTACCCACTTTATGATAATCACATGCAGTTTTGGGCAAAAAACGTTTTTTACATGCAGTATAATGTGTTAATTACGCCTTTTCATAATGGTGTATTTCAATATTTCTGCATATTGGGGGCCCTATACAGTCTTGGAATTGCATTAATTGGGTTAGACTGTAAAGCGGAGACTCTTGTGGATCCAATGAGCTCAATTGTATTAATGTGTGATGATGTTAGTCCCCATAGTAGTCATTTCATAGTGAGACCATGTTTTGAAACTTGACATCAATGTATAAAATGAGATGTTGTGACATCTAGGATAATCACAGCCTCATGAAACTGTTCAACCACAAACTAGAGACATTTAGAGAATGTGTAGCTTTCCTAGGTATATTGACAATAAGGGGGTTTCTGAGCAGTTCCAGAACAGAAGTACTCAAACATGTGAAACGTTTTTCATACCAAATCATCCCCTTAGCCTTCTGACATGTATTCCTAATTTGTCATGTCCTATTTTGCAGCTGGTAACGTAGAAAGTAGTATGCCTGTCAAGCAGCATATTGCATGGAGAAAGAAGGCTGAGATGCTCCAGTCTCGGGTGGATGAGCTAGAGGAGGAAAATGGCATACTCAAGCAGCAGCTTGAGGACAAGAACTCTATACAAGAGCAAGGTTTGTACAGGTGGAGCAACGTTTTACATTAGGGCTCTCCAGAACCTGTGTGGCTTCAAAAATAATTATGGCGCAGTATACCACAACAGTATTTCAGCTATTATTGAATATTATTGCCAGCCTTTCAATATTATTTTTTCTCAAGGAACTATTTTTGATTTGGCCTTATATTTTTACATTTAGTGCATGTAGATATTTAGCTGGACAATGTGTAGGGTCACTAATGGCGTGTGTCCATATAGCGTTTTTCACTGAAAGAAAACTGCTGGCAGGGCGCTTGGGAGCACTTCATTTGTTTTTATGACAGTATCTTGACAGTATATCATCGCCCCTTTGCTTTTACCTATTTGGGCTACTATCAATTGCATTTAAAACTGTATAGCCTCCTATTGGCTGCTGCTTTATGTGCATCTTTTGAATTGCAAACAAAAATGGCTGCCAAGCCATCTATTTTTTTATTTTTTTATCAGGGACAGTGCACATTGATAAACATTACTGTAAATATGCCAGAGTTAGCCAAGAGGCTATTTTTCATCCGTAGTCCCTGGACATGTGCTTTCTACATGTATAGGTCTCTGCTCAGTGTTATACAAAGGGGTTTGTAGTTTGTTCTTGATATTCAGGCAGAGTACTGCAAATGTATTTTGCGTTATAAATCAAACTCTTGAAATGTTCAACAAAAATATTAAAAACAATTTAACAGAGAAAATAAAAATTCCCAGGGAATTCATGTCTCTTCTTTGGGCTATAGTATTTACAATATTTCAGCTATTGTTGTCATTTTTAAGGAATTCCTTTAGGAATTTAATTAACTTCACTTGTGTATAGGCTGTTGACTGCTGCCTTGTCATAGCATATTGCTCTCCATTTAAAGATGAATTGGCTTAGACCACATGAGCACTAATTGATTGGAATTCATGGAAATACACTAATAGTGATAGAAACATTCTACACAATGCAGTTTGAAAGTAGCAGACTAATGCATTTTCTCATACACAACTCCTTTTTGTAATAAAACACAAGACATCCCATCTAAAGTTTTGTGCACATTATTTGTACTTCTGCAATGTTTCTTCATACCCAATCTAACCTCCACCGCATCAATTAGTATGCACTTCAGTTCCTGTACAACCTCAAACCACCTTAGGTTATCAGTTGCTCAAGCTCAGTCACACCAATGTAATTCTGTAATGTTGTATATTGTGATAAAAGCAGACTCCTCTGGGCTTTAGGCAAATCCTTTGTGGGGACTCAACTTAAAGTTTATTTCTGTTTGTCATTTATCGTTCATCAACAGATGGGAACTGGGAAGTAATGGCCACTGGAGATAAGGAGCCGGAGCCCATGAGGTTGGACTCCAGCACGGATTCCAGCAACGATTCCAGCACTGACTCCAGCACTGACTCAAGCTCTGACTCAAGCTCTACCTCTGACTCTTCTGATGAGGGAAAGAAGAAAAAGAAGCAGAAGAAGAAAGGCAAGAAGAGAAGCAAAAAAGGGAAGAAGGAAAGCAAAAAAAGGAAGAAGGAAAACAAAAAGGCGAAGACGTCAAAAGGAAAAGGAGAGCGAGGTATAATAAACTAAGACACCTGCTGAATATATTTAGGTGTTAGGTAATTAGGTTATTATTGTGAGCTTAGTGCTTTATACTGGGTTTGGGTTGGGGCATACAATCCCATTGACCAATCATCATCACTCTTATCACCAATGTACTCTTCATCGTGCCGGAGTGGTTGGGGTGTAGGTTGAATGAACTAAAATAGAGACACACCACATGCTTACTAGAGGTGTAAATCTTCACTGGCCTCACGATTCGATTTGAATACGATTCACCTGTCAACGATTCAAATTCCCAACGATCCTCGATGCATCTCAATGTATTGCATCCTCAATTTTCTATATTACTGCACATAGCAAAACATGTTATCAATTAATACAAGCAGTCAGATAAATCTGAACTCCCTTTTTTATTTAGAAAGTGCTTTCAAAGATCTGACTGTACAGACTTTAATATAAAAGCTTCTTTTCAATACCAGTATCTGTGTGAGCCACCTCACATAAACTTAATAAAAACAAAACTTAAATAATTCTACAGTGCATTACAAGTGTGTTGTAATCTACAAAAATAAGGTTTTCACATAGAAGCTCAGTGTTTCCCTAGGCTGACTGCTTTGGGGGGGTGAATGGGCAGGGAGATAACTTTTCAGATTATTCCGACATCATGTGAATGCAGCACAAAGTCGATGGCATTTACACTGCCTAGCAGCTACGGACCTTCCCTTACTCATAGTTCTTCTACTATGCGATATCTATGAGCGCACAGCGGACGTTTGATTCTGCAAGGAAGTGCAACCAAACAAAAAGTTGGGGATATTTAAACTTTTAGTGGCGAAGCGCAGCCAGAGAGTACCCGCAGCCAATCAGTAAACAGAGTCCTGACATGTTGACCTATGTTATAAAGAATTTCTTGTCGCCTGAAACACATGAACACGCCTCAGAAAAATGTCATCATTGTGGCGATCTGCTCTTCGCAGCTGCCTGATGTGAATTTGGCATAACAGAGCAGCTGTTATTGGTAGTGAGAGCAACAAGTTAGTGGACTGCAGATCGTTTGAATGCCGCCTCACACCTCCTCACACACAGACACCCCGTGTGTGCGGAGGTGAGAGGCGGCATTCAAAGTGTAAAGCTCTGCCCTCCTTGAAACAGAGATCAGAGGAGAGAAACTAGCGCGACAGAAAATGACAGCAGAACGCAGTAAGACTCACTAAGCTGATATGAAACCAAACTCCTGATTATGTTCCGTCACTGCATCGATGCAGAATCGTACATCGCGATGCACCTTATAAATGGAGAAATGTCCACACCTCTAATGCTCATCTACTATGGCTGTTTGAGCTGAACCTGTAATGAATAATGAAATATAAATAATGTTCTCACCAGTTTTTACCACCAATATGTTTTTTATCAATAAATAGCCAATGATCTAACTAGATTTGCACACTACGCATACAGGCACACTACCTAGTACCTACTATAAAATACAACACATGTTCTAAAACAAACGGGAAGTCACACACATTCATCCAAGTTGTAGTCCCTTTTCAAGAGAAAATATGTGAGAAACACTATGGCTCATCCTGCAACTAAGACACTGCACACAATACACACCACAACAATTATTGGGGGGCCATAACATTTATTGACATTAATGTATTCTTTATTTTTCAGTGTCTTCCATCTCAGATGTGGTGGGAAGATATCGGCGTGTCCTTAGACTGGTGCAGAGAGGCTTCAAGATGACCAAAGCTTTTAAGAAAGCTCATGTTTCCAGGAATGCTGTGAAAGACACTGCAGCAATTGCTGAAGTATTCCTGGTGGACAAAAGTGTCCTAGACCAGTTTAAGGGTAAAAACACACTTTTAAAATTAGCCCAACTCTGTCAGAAGAAAATAGTCGGTGAACTGGCAGAAAAGATTGCTGAAATGAAAAGCAAAAAACAGCTCATCCCCTTTTCTGTCAGGTAATTCTGAATGTGGGTTGAGCGTTGTTGTGGGGGGTGTCACTACCCGATCTGCAGTGTGCATGTGCGAGATGGTCCGCCATATTGGATAACTCCGGATGGCAACCGACGGCAACCCAAGTAGGACAACATTGACACAGTGGCTTTTGGCAAAGCTCAAAAGGAAAACGAGAGAGAGATGAGTTATTGTTATTACAACGTGACTTCACTATTATTTAACAACTCTTTTTATTGGGTTCTTTTATTTGGGGTTAAGCACATTGTCAGAATAAGTGAATGAATTTAACTTCTGTTAGACAGCTATCATACTGAATACATATTGACTGTGAATGTATGCAAACATGTTTGGCATATAGCTGTCTAACAGAAGTTAAATTAACTTCTCACTTATTCTGACAATGTACTTAACCCCAAATAAAAGAACCCAATAAAAAGAGTTGTTAAATAATAGTGAAGTCACGTTGTAATAACAATAACTCATCTCTCTCGAGTTTTATTTTTGAGCTTTGCTAAAAGCCACTGTGTCAAGTGTCCATCTTGGGTTGCCGTCCGGAGTTGTTCAATATGGCGGACCATCTCGCACATGCGCACTGCAGATCGGGCAGAGCTGCAGATCGGGTAGTGACAGGGGGGACGGTTTTTCATTTTGGGAAGCTACTTTGGGGAAGTGTTTTGGCGACCTGTTAATGATTATGTTTAGATGTCCTTTAGTAGGATTGAATGTGGTTCACAACTGTTCAGTGTTTTTACTTGTAGTATGTTATTAAAATAAAAAAGCTTTCTTTCTCTGATATGCTGTGTATAGTGTTTGTTCTACTGTGCTTTATAACCTGGTATTGACTTCAGTTATCCAGTGTTCGTGATCAGTTGTGCAAAACATTTCGCTTTATTTCCCATGTCTGTTGCATATAATTAGTGGATGAATGTATGTGTTCTGTTGATAGGTTATAGACTTTCTACTGTTCTCAACTGTTTTTCACTTTAATTGGATAGTCCTAACACATGCCTACAAACACTTAGTGGAGAACCTACTAAAAGTATACTAATAGTCAACTCTAGATTAGTTGACGATCAACAGATAGTCAACTAAACTCTAAAGTTGCTTATCTGTTGATCATCAACTAATGCTTAATGTAATAGTCAACTGAACTTTAGTTGCTTATCTGTTGATCATCAACTAATGCTTAATGTAATAGTCAACTGAACTTTAGTTGCTTATCTGTTGATCATCAACTAATGCTTAGTTACTTGTCGGTTTGAACGGTGCTGTTGAATGTCAACTGATGCACTGTTGACATGCTACTAAATGTCAACTGATGACTTATAGAGTATTAACTATGGACTATCAAAATAAAGTGTTACCAAAACTTCCAGAGAAAACCCACATTTTATATATTTATTGCTATCGGGATGTTAAGAGCATTCCATGGAATATAACAAAAAGCGTTTCTGAAGTGAATTACCTAACCCACCTTTAAGTACAAAGACTGTGTGTGAAGTCGCATCACTAATATAAGGCTACAACAGGTCCCAGCTGTGTGCGTCACTCTTTAGTGTCCCCTGGTCTCCTAGCTGTGTGCGTCACTCTTTAGTGTCCCCTGGTCTCCCAGCTGTGTGCGTCACTCTTTAGTGTCCCATGGTCTCCCAGCTGTGTGCGTCACTCTTTAGTGTCCCATGGTCTCCCAGCTGTGTGCGTTACTCTTTAGTGTCCCCTGGTCTCCAGCTGTGTGCGTCACTCTTTAGTGTCCCCTGGTCTCCCAGCTGTGTGCGTCACTCTTTAGTGTCCCCTGGTCTCCTAGCTGTGTGCGTCACTCTTTAGTGTCCCCTGGTCTCCCAGCTATGTGCGTCACTCTTTAGTGTCCCATGGTCTCCCAGCTGTGTGCGTCACTCTTTAGTGTCCCATGGTCTCCCAGCTGTGTGCGTTACTCTTTAGTGTCCCCTGGTCTCCAGCTGTGTGCGTCACTCTTTAGTGTCCCCTGGTCTCCCAGCTGTGTGCGTCACTCTTTAGTGTCCCCAGGTCTCCAGCTGTGTGCGTCACTCTTTAGTGTCCCCTGGTCTCCCAGCTGTGTGCGTCACTTTTTAGTGTCCCCTGGTCTCCAGCTGTGTGTGTCACTCTTTAGTGTCCCATGGTCTCCCAGCTGTGTGCGTCACTCTTTAGTGTCCCCTGGTCTCCAGCTCTGTGTGTCACTCTTTAGTGTCCCCTGGTCTCCCAACTGTGTGCGTCACTCTTTAGTGTCCCCTGGTCTCCCAGCTGTGTGCGTCACTCTTTAGTGTCCCATGGTCTCCCAGCTGTGTGCGTCACTCTTTAGTGTCCCCTGGTCTCCCAGCTGTGTGCGTCACTCTTTAGTGTCCCCTGGTCTCCAGCTGTGTGTGTCACTCTTTAGTGTCCCCTGGTCTCCCAGCTGTGTGCGTCACTCTTTAGTGTCCCCTGGTCTCCCAGCTGTGTGCGTCACTCTTTAGTGTCCCCTGGTCTCCAGCTGTGTGCGTCACTCTTTAGTGTCCCATGGTCTCCCAGCTGTGTGCGTCACTCTTTAGTGTCCCCTGGTCTCCAGCTCTGTGCGTCACTCTTTAGTGTCCCCTGGTCTCCCAGCTGTGTGCGTCACTCTTTAGTGTCCCCAGGTCTCCAGCTGTGTGCCTCACTCTTTAGTGTCCCCAGGTCTCCCAGCTCTGTGCGTCACTCTTTAGTGTCCCCAGGTCTCCAGCTGTGTGCCTCACTCTTTAGTGTCCCCAGGTCTCCAGCTCTGTGCGTCACTCTTTAGTGTCCCATGGTCTCCAGCTGTGTGCGTCACTCTTTAGTGTCCCCTGGTCTCCCAGCTGTGTGCGTCACTCTTTAGTGTCCCCTGGTCTCCCAGCTGTGTGCGTCACTCTTTAGTGTCCCCAGGTCTCCAGCTGTGTGCCTCACTCTTTAGTGTCCCCAGGTCTCCAGCTCTGTGCGTCACTCTTTAGTGTCCCATGGTCTCCCAGCTGTGTGCGTCACTCTTTAGTGTCCCCTGGTCTCCCAGCTGTGTGCGTCACTCTTTAGTGTCCCCTGGTCTCCCAGCTGTGTGCGTCACTCTTTAGTGTCCCATGGTCTCCCAGCTGTGTGCGTCACTCTTTAGTGTCCCCAGGTCTCCGTTGTGTTTGAGCTTCTTCAGCGTTTGGTTCTGCAGCTTTCAGTAAACGCTGCATGTCTCCTCAAGTTGCTGAATGTTCTCTAAATGCTGCACGTGTTGCTGGAGATGTTTCTTGATGTGGAACCTTTGGGTTTCTAGATCTGCGTCCTTCTGAAGCTGCTGTTTCTCCCGATGGAAGAGTTTCAGTGTGTTCACCCGTCTGCCTCCGTACAGAACAGATCTAAATGTGTGAGTTCCTCCGAGCGACAGACTGTCTGATTATTTCTGCAGGAAGACAGTTTGTGTTTAATCAGAGGTGTTGGAGTCGGAGAGGTGTTTCATTATAATTATTCATGTTATTATGAGTGACGTCGGTGCAGTGTGTCCTGATCCAGGGTCACAGTGTGTGTACACGGTGCAGAGTGTGTGTTTTAAATCAGTCCTGACACACACACTGAGGTCAGCACGACTCAGCAGGTCAGAGCAGGGGCGCCGCCAGGGATTTTGGGCCCTGTAACGGAGGTGATCTCTGGGGCCGTAGATCTCGGTCTCCGTTACGTAGGATATAGCTTCACTATTGGCGAAGCATATTAATTTGTTCCACGCTAAAGCATTGCACAGGAAGCATTTGAATATATGTAATTTATGCATCTATTTGTCACGATCTGTCCATGTTTTATTTTGAAAAGTGTTCCCTTCTGCCTGATTACCTGATTGTGTTCACCTGGTGCCCCTGTGTTTTCTCCTCCCTCCTCACCTGTGTCTTGTTTGTTTGATTAGTCATGTGTGTATTTTAGTGTGAATGCTGACACAGCACACTATCTCTTAGTGGAGGAAGTCAATTGTGATATCACTTACGCGACTCTGGGATTTGTAGTCTTTCTACAGTAGTTGCGTATTTTTACGACAAACTGTGACTTTTTTGACAAGGAGATGATTTTTTCTAGATTGACAAACATCATATGTGTAATTCATGGCACAATTCAAACGGGATCGAAAGATACGTTTTCTCTCTCCATTGATTTCAATACATTATTTTTCCGAAATAAGGTCCCATGGAGCGGAAGTAGATGGGCGTGACTTCACCACTCCATTAGAGCAGCAGACTAATGACGTGGTCACTGGAGTTTAACAGACTGTCTCAGCCTATTCTTTTCCGTCTGATGGAGACTTCATACTGACTTCAACATGTTCCACATATTTTAGACATTATTGGTGACGTATGCTTTTAGTTCTAACGTTTTCAGTTCAAATATTCTGCTTCTTTTTCATGCATTGAGACTTTTATTTTCTTGTTCTTACTTCACATTCAAGTCCCTTCTATTCATGAACCCTTTAAAGTACTCAGCCACACCGCTGTATAGGCTACCACGTGCGACTGTTGCTATGTCAGTGAATCTTTCAAATACAAGGTTGCTTGTTTGTTTCAAGCTCTTGTAGTCAATATGTCAAGGTATGTATCAGCTAACTAACGACACACACTCAGAGGATCTTTATAAACGTTTTAAGTATTGCACATCTTTAAACATGACTCTTATAAATCACTTTTAAAACCAGCGATGCACGACAGTGTCAGCTTTTCTAAAATAGAAACTTCAATGTTCACATCTTTCTAAATGATTCTACTTTTCAATGACCCACAAATAATCCTAATAATAATCCCATTTCCAACTGTTCATATTTTTTGTCAATTAACAAACCTGTTACAAATGTGTTGTTCAACAAATTTGAGCCTTTGCCACATTTATTTGATCACCATGGAAACCTTTGATCTCTGGACACGTCGTTAGCTCAACTAGAAACACCTGTGTCATGGAACACGATGATGTCATCGCTCCACCTGACATGCTCAGAGCAGCAGCCTTCAGGTAGAGGTTAACGGTCCTGCCCTCAACAGCTCTACGTCAATTAT